ATATTTTATAATTTAAATTATATTTAATTTTTGATATTAATTTTTTGGTATCCCGTAACCATATTAAGTTCAGATTAATTCGAAATTGAGCCGTGTCGGAACCCATTAAAAGAAATTTCTCTCAATATTTATTTTTTCATTCACAAAAGTTGAACTCAGGACCTTATTTAAAAGGTACTGAATTCATTCCATTTGAATCAACATGTCATTGTTAGATTATATTTTATTATATAATATTTATTATTAAATAAAAATAAATCCTTAATATTAAGAATTCCCTTTTATTCAATAATTATTCTTTAATTATTCTTTTATAATTCTGTACAAACTACAAATAGAGTACTCTTAAAAGAAAACTAAAATGGAAAAAGGAAAGGAATATAAAAAAATGAAAACCGGAAGAATCACATTGTTTTCTTAAAAGAAAACTGAAAGGGAAATAGGAAAGGAATATGAAAACTAAAATCGCGCGCCGCGCGCGCGCACACGTATGTATATATATATATATATATATATATAAAAGAAAACAAAAAAAGAGGGTTTTTTTTCCAAGTTTATATAAAAAAAATATAAAATTAATATTATTTTTAATATTATTGTCATATTAATAAATTTAATTAAATAATTAATAAATTAAAGTTAAATGACGGAAGAGGTTATGAAATGACAGATATATCTCCGATATTGAAGCAAGCTGGAAATAACTCAATAGAAGAGTTAGTAAAAAGTGAAAGTTGATCAAAAGATGACATATGGAAGTTTGATAATGAAGAAAACATAATGTGTTATCAAAAGACAACATGACACAAACTCGGAGTTTTTGTGACATAAGATGTCAACAACGATATCTTTTATGTGTAATTCCATAACCTGAGAAATAATATAATCGAGCTTTAAGCTCTAGTCTATTATGTTCATTAGGTGGAAAAAGAACAAAACAAACACAACCAAAAACCTTAAAAAGATTATAAATAGAGAAGTACCATGCAAACATTTATATGAAAACTTATTATTGATGACTGATGATGGAATTTGATTAATGAGATAAATAGTTGTAAGAGCACATTCATCTCAAAATTGCTCTGAACAAGAAGATAAAATGAGCAAAGCATGAACAAAATCAAAGAGAAATATTTGAAGAAAGGTTTATTATTTTTTTAAATAATATTGTATGTACAATAACTTATATATATATTTATAAAAAAAATTTAAAAATATAAAAAAATATTTTAAAATATAAAATATTTATAATAAATATAAATATAATTTAAATTATTGTATTCACATTTTAAAGTATTTAAGCCGAGTAACGCGCATGAAGGCTGACAGGGTAAATAAATACAAAAGAGTTGTGTGCCCATAGAAAATGATTTTTACGCTCGAATGTATAAGAAAAAAGTGTTTTTTTTTTAATATATATATATTTGAGTATGAATAAAAAAAAACTCTTTTTTATTTTCAAATCCCTACCAACTCAACTTAAATTTGAGATTTTTAATTTAAGAAACAAACTTTTCACTGTTAAGCAATCCCATTAAATTAACAAGAAAATGTTGTTTATGCCGTGCAACTTGAATAAATTTTTTTTTAGAAAAAAATACAGCCTTTTCTATTCATGACACACAACCACAGTTAATCAAGAATTACGAAACCCACCGCCACAGCTGACAAATTAGTTGGTCCGCACTGACTTCGTTGGCATCGCCATTCAAACAGGTGTGCGGACCATCCGAAGTCACACCAGAAGCACAAAAACACTCTCTGTGCTTAAATTACACTAGGGCCGCTTTTCTTTACTTCATTTCTGGCTTCTCTTCTTGCTTCACGTTCCTCGTTCCTTTTCTCTACCAGCTTGTTCTCTGGAGCTCCGTTTCCGATGGCTGCAGTTGCCGGATCCAACGTCCTTGCTTTCAGATCCGTCGCGAAATTAGGAGATTCCTGTGACAGAAAAATCGTTCAGGCTAGGCAATGGTCTCCTATTTCCAGCGCAGTAGGATCGGTTCACTCTTGGCCTCGGATTGGTCTTCAGTGCAGATTGAGGAGCTCGATTTCGTCCTCGGGTATTTTTTGCGCTTCGTTAGTTTGTGTTTCTATGCTGTTTATGTCTTTGTATAGTGCTTCTCTTGCTTTTGGAAGCTAATATTGACTTCGGTGGAAGAGAGCGGAGTGCTTGGATAATTTGTGTTAATTGCTTTTGGATCTGTTGCGAGGTTGCCTTTGGTACAATCTGTACAAATGAATGTGTTGTATGGGTAATCTGCTCGAAGGCCGGTTTCCTGTATTCTAAATTTTCACTCACTGTTCAAAGTTTGCAGCGTGCTTTTGTGCCTGAATGGTGGAATGCATCTTTTTCTTCTTACATATAGGGTGAAATTGCTAGATATTTTCCTTTTTTTCTAATGAGGATTTATGGCTCTTCAAAAAATAATGAAAATAGAAAAGTCATATAGGTTAGCTCTGGTTGACTGATAGTGATCTCAGTTAGTTGTAACATTTTCCTTGGAGAACCAAGATGCATACATTTTTTAGCATGGAACAATGGATAAATCCACTTGTTCTGTGCCTGATCTTTCCTAAAATGCTATAAAGAAAGTGGAAGGGTGAAGGAACTGCATGAATGGAATGGTAAATTGATTTAGCCACAAGAGACCAAAATTAGGAACTACTTATAGAAAGTGTTTGACAATGTTCATGTTGAGCAACATATTCATTTCTATATTTTGGTAGAAATTCTACACCACGTTCCTTGAGGTTGGACTTATGAATTAGTGCTGTAGCAAAATTCAAAAACACCTTGAGAGCATTTCTTTTAAAATATTTAGTAAAGCAATAAAAGTCAAGCTAAAATTGAAATGCACCTGAAATGGAAACAGGCAGACATTGATGGTGATAGTACAGGTGACTGGGCATGGCATTAGGGAATTATGAATCCTGCTTATGTTGTAAGATGCCAAGAAGTGGTATGGTTGGGCTTCATTGGTGGTTATTTGGTATATTTTAATCTGATGTGTATGCATTAGGTCAAAAACAGAACAGTTGACTTCTTTCCTGTAATCTATTTGCTCTTCTTATAACATCTTACTGGTAGATTTAAGCCCTTTTTTTTTTTTTGGTCATGAATTTTGTCTTCATATGGTGGAGGTTTTGAAATTTTTTGCTTGAGACTAATCTATAAAGAGCATAGTCTGGAAATAACTAGAGAATTATTTAACTTGATGGGAAATATGCTGGCTCGTTAACTTGACCTTATTCAAGTGACTGATATGATTTCTGGTTCTTTTCTGTTTTGCAAAACCATAAGCACTGTGTTTTATTGGTTATAATATTGTAACACACAGGGGGAAGAGTTCAGGTTGCCACTATTGAACAAGCTAGCACCGAAGATGGTCAAAAAGTAGAAGCTCCAGTAGCAATAGTAACTGGAGCCTCTAGAGGAATTGGTAGAGCAATTGCATTGGCCTTGGGGAAAGCAGGCTGCAAGGTTAGTGGGTTCCCCTTCTTAGCTTCTTAGTTACTTTTTGCTAGGGAAGCTTTTGCTCTCCCATTAACTCTACTGTGAATTTTTTTGGGGTTGCATCCTTGGATACTTTGTGGTATAATCTTTAAATTACATCAGTGAGTGAGTTAAAAAAGCATTTAGGCACTTTTAGACTCTCAGTTTCGATCTTATTCTTTATCTAGACCAAGGGACGATATCAGTCACGTACATCACCAAAAGCAAGCAAGTCATAATTACCATGATATACATTTAACTATGTTTTTCTATTCTTGTTTAAGTGTCATACATCTAGCCAAAGTGTTGTTTGCTTTCCTGAGGCCTGTCATTCCTGATTGCAGACAGCAATTCACCCTGTGTTCTTGTGATAATTACGGATTCTTATATTATTGCAGGTCCTTGTAAATTATGCTAGGTCATCAAAGGAGGCAGAGGAAGTTTCTAAAGAGGTTAAGTTTTTCCTTTTATGAAGAAATTTAGATGAATATTGGTGCACAACTTGGTTTAATTCTTT